TGCCGGAGAGGTGCTCCGCACCGAGGTGCTCGGGCCCGTGTCTTGAGAGGGCCGACTCCATGAGGAGTTGCCTAAGACGGAACTCCCTCTCCTTACGCGTTCGAGGTTTGAACGCTTTACAAATCTTGCACTTATCTGCTTTATCTTCCTGAGACAGGAATCGTGGGGGTCGCCCGTGGGCATGGGCCTGCTGCAAGACTTGCAAGGCCTGAAGCCCTGAGACGGCATGCCCCAGGGCCCCGCAGGGCAGTCTTTGACAAGACCGGCCCCTTAACAGCTAAACTACACTTAACACTATAAAGGAAAGATTACCACTTACTAACTATTTACAATGAAGATAAGAGAGAACGCTAGGTATAAGTGGAACACTTAACAAGACAAGAGACCACTGTTCCAACAACCGTCACAGGCGGTAAGAAGGAACTGAAGGGAGGTCGGGCTGGCAGGGGCTTATATAGATGGCCATTTCGGCGCCACTCCAGGGGGCTCCCCAGCCGGCCTGACGGGTAGCTGCTAGGGTAAAAGTTTCCGACATCCGTGCACGCGGCACGCGCACACACCTAACTGGAATTGATATGAGCAATCACTCGAAGAAGAATATGGGTGTTCCCCCATGGTACAGAATGTCACAGGGGTATCAATAAAACATTCTGTTCAACTGATACCTATCTATAGTGTGGCTAGGGAAACTAAAGTTCAGCATTTCATTTTAATTGCAGAAAATAATGGATTTAAAAAAAAAAAAAATCAGAATCTCCCCCCCCCAATCACAGAAAATAGAACCCCTGGTTATGATCATACTTGCTAAATAAAAATATAGGATCAAAAATTAATAAGCCAAATTGGTGTTGGACATTAGGCCTAGTTAGTGAACAAACTTATGAGGGGATGGGCTATTCCACCCACCATTTCCTTCATAGGTCCTTAAAGAAAGACATGGGGGTGGGAGAGAATTGGCTACTGAAGCAAGCTTCACCATCATGGTTGCCACCCCCACTGTCTTCTGGGACAACAGGCCTTTATCATTTTAATCCTGAGGGATGTTCTGACCAGGCAGGGCCAGAGAATTGGATTCAGGTGACATCACCACTTCTACTGGCTCCTGCTGAATCCTAAACATTACCTGGGATGAAATGGGATTGGACTTCAACAGCAGCTCCAGCCAATTTCAACTAACTACTCTTTTCCCCAAAAGGACAGTTGTTACTATCTAAGGGGGGTGTGTGTGGTGGTGGTGGTGTGTGTTCCTTCTAAAACTTTCTCCAGCTAAAGGGAAAAACGGATGTTGTAAAAATGAAAGCCTTATTTAATACTTTACATTTCAAATCTTTCAACTGTTTTTCCTTTTCTTTTTAATAAAAAGTTAAAAGGATTTTTAATGGTGTGCACGCCATGGTACTAAGCAGATGAAGGTCTCTGTATATCAAATCCTGAATTTAGTTTAACAGTGTTTAGTAGTCAACAGTAACTGGATTATATTAACACCTGTATTAATTTAGATGGCATAAGAAGTGAGCCAAAACAGGTCCCTTGAAAGAGAGACTCTCCATATAAGAATAGTCCTTGAAGAGGGGCTGTGACAGGGGGCACTCACCTCTTGAACATCTCCTGCTGCTGCATCTGTTACTGCAGGCCTTTTCTTGCCCTGGGTGTCCCCTTGTAGGCTGTCAACATCACTTGGCAGGTCTTTAGGAGCTCAGCCCTCCAGCCAAGTCACAGTCAGAATAAACCCCTTCCGAGGTAGAAAAAGTCCAACAAAAAACTATGTGACCTCACAGGTCTTGAGACCTGTCTCTGGGCCCTTTAAATTCAAGCCTTGTCCCCTTTGTAGGGCTTAGACCACTTTGCTAGTGGGGAGACCCTGACCCACTCACTACTCCAGCCTCCAACCCAGGGAGCTTATAAACAGCAGTCATTTACTGCTGCCTTCAACTAATAGCTGCTACTTCCCTAGGCCTCTCCCACATGACCCTTTTATCTCTACCCCTTATCTTGAGGGTTCAAGCTCACAGGTCCTCTTTCTCCCAGCTTAAGTAAATGCAGCCAGTCAAGCTCCTATGGCCAGAGAGGAACTCCCTTCCTTACCCCTCTGGTCCAAGCCAAGAACTGACCTGCTCAGACTCTGCAGTTCCTTTTATCTGAGCCTGCTTTGGCTTCTCCCACGAGGCCTTTCTAGGCAGGCCTGGAGGACGCACCTCTGATGCTCCTTCCTGGGAGAGGGTGTAGTAGGACCACAAGACCTCTAGCAGGGGGCTACAAAGGGCCAGGTACACCCCATCACAGGTGCCAAGGGTTTGGGGAGGCCAAGGGAGGAAAAGAACTCTACAGAGTAGCTGCAGTGGATAATCTCTAGTACCCATTTGTCTGATGCAATTCCCCCCAATTGTGGGTGAAGAGGATAAGGTGGTAGTGGATGGTATCAATAGGTGCAGGCAATTCTTGATTGTCCTGTCAAAAATAACCCATGGATGATGGATGATGTTGAGTAGTTGCAGTAGAGAGAATTGTATATCTAGGTCTCCGTACCTTCTGGCATTTTTTGAAGGATAAATTAAACTCACTGACAGACAAGTCTTTATGATATCACGAATCTCCTGGAGAACCCCAAGGAGTGCAGCCACCTCACAACTATTCCTGTGGCTATCCTTCTAGTTGCAGTGTCAACTACAACCACTGCAGCTTGAAGGGACATTTTGGCTTCCAGTTTGCTTTCCTCAATGAGGGTCTGGAATTACACCCTGTCCTCTGAAGGGAGTTTGTCCCTGAAGTCCAAAATCTTCAAGTAATTGTTGAAATCATTTTGCAAACAAAGCTCAGTAGTTAATGTGGGATTGAAGACTTGCAGAAGAAAACATCTTCCTCCCCAGAGGGTCAAAGTCATTTAGAGCCCTTATCTCTATGTAGCCTTGGGGTGTTGTATCCTAGGCCTTTTAATGGCTGCTTGCACCACCAGGGAGTTGGGTGCTGGGTATATGACGAGAAACTGCTACTTTGTCTGGTACAAAATAGTGCTTCTCAGTCCTTTTTCAGGGTGAGGGAGCAGGAGGCTTGAGTGTTACTGACTACCCAAGCTGGTTTCTTGATTGCCTCGTTTACTGGGAGAGCCACCTACTGTGACCTGAAGTTTATCAAACGTCAAGGAGCTAATGCTGGGTATTCTGGACCTCCTCTGGTGGAACCTGGAGGTAATTTGCCACTCTTTTTAGAAGCTTGTGATATTGCCTGTGGTTGTCAGGTGTGGATGGCAAAGATGTTTTATTGAGGGGAACAACAACAAAAACAACCCACAAAATTCTGTTTCAATTCAAAACAAATTGAATTTTTTTCAGCCTCATCTGGTGAGGAAGATGAAACACCAATCAGTACCTGTAGATCTGGTTCTATCTCCTCTCCCACAGACTCTGATGGAGCCAGTAGGTGTTCCCTGGGAAAGATATGGTGGGACTCGTGGACAGCTCCGGGATGTCTACTGTAGAGATCCCTTGGGCCACAATACGGCCACTATGAAGAGTCAACCAGTTGAGGGGGACTGCATGGCATCGGATGGTGGACAGATCCCAGATCGAATTCACCTCTCACTGTGGAGGTGAAGGATTGCTTGGAGCCTCCGAGTCCTGTTAAGGCTGAGCTGTTGACCGGCAGAGCTGTTGGTACCTGTGGGTGAAGACTCCTGCCTAAAATCTGAAGGAGGGGAACACTCCTGTCCCCTGGAGGTAGCTTCCTCCTCTGGTGTCTCAATCTCGCTCAGGAGGATTGGACGTGAAGGAAAAGGAGATGGAGGATAAGATAGGGTGAAGATATCCTCTGGTTGGGTGCAAAATTTGGTTCACCCTGGAGTCAGAGACATTCCGGTTGTCCGGACCAATGGATCCGGCACATTCATGGCCATTGTGGACAGCAAATCTTTATGGTGATGGGCTGGTACCATCGAAGAGTCTACTAAGGAGCTCATAGATGGTGTCATTGATCCTTCGGCTAAGGAATCAGTGCAGATGTTGATATTGGCAGCTCCTCTCCCCTTCATCCCTTGCCCTCATGACAAGAGGCTTTAAGTGAACTTAAGTCTTTAGGACCCATGTGCAAGGACATACCGGACTTGGACAGAGTCGGGGAGGGATCCCTTTTCTTTGGAAGCAGATCCTCCTGCTTTTGTGTGCCCCTTATCATCTAGGGCTTCTGATGAGAGTAACTCCTTGGGCTTATCAGCTCTAGCTTCTATTCCTGAGTTTGGGCTTGAAGGAGCACTGCTTATCTGTTGAGGTTGATGTACCGTAGAGTGGAAGAGGGAGTCTCACTGGCCCAGTTCTGACTGAGGTCTCATAGCCTCCTCCATATGTTTTCTTAGCTGGAATTCTTGAGCCTTGCAGGTTCATGGGGGAAACAAGTGGCAAATGTTGCACTTAATGGAGATATGTGCCTCTCTCAGACAATAGAGACTGCACTGGTGCTCGTTACTCACACAGAAGCAGCAGGGACAGGAGAGACCGTTCTTAAGCCCTGGAACTCTGGGTATAGTCTTTGTCCACAGGGAGGGAAAAAGAAATTTAGTTATACTAACTATACTAAAATACTAAAAGCTATTTACAACATGTTTGCAGGTTTGTTAAGACAAAAAGAAAAACAGAGAAATCTGTGGACACAGAGTTCTGATTCAGGCCATGCAGTGGTAAAAAGGAACTGGAGAGGCATCAGCCCACATCACCTCTTATATCCTTGGGTTTGGAGCACAAGGAGAACAACTGCACAGGCACGGAACAACGGACACAGCTTGTTAGAAATCTCTGATCTCAGGCATATGGTGCACGTGTTCCCACATGTGGAATACAGATAGGGACGGCACTCTAAGAACAGCTGTATGTTCAGCAAGTTTAAGACAAGTGTACCATCTGCAATGTGATGTAAGACCCCAACGACTGAGCCCCTGTAAATCTCAGCTCTGCCATTTCCTCATTTGCATGGTCAAAAGGCTACATGGTTGGTTTAACACAGAAGTCAGAAGAGAAAATAAAACCAGTTTTATTTCTTATTAATAACTGAGACACATCTGTGAGATATTTTGTCACAGAGCACGGCAAGCAGAAGCTCGGGAAATGGGAGTCACCTTGCTTGGTGTTTCATCCTCTGTCAATTCGGCACAGAGTTCTAAGAGGGAGGAAGCAGAGTGTCAGTCACTGAGGAGACAGCATACCCATATACCCAGAATACCAGAGGACATAAGCAAGGGGGCCAAGGTTACTAGTAACCCAGAATATAATCTACAGCCCTCTGCAGCAAGGGGGTGTGGCCTTCTTCCCAGATGGACAGTCCCCTGGTGGCCAGAGCCAGGACACACATGCTCGCCTCACCGGAAGCAGAGGGGTGGGACAGGAACCTAAAGTATAAAAGGCAGGCCCCTCCAGCTCAGTTGGAGAGGAGCTGCTGCAGGAGAAGGACATCTCTCATCCGTTGCTAGAGCTCAGACCCGACAGCAACCGCTGCAGCGCCCGAGATCTAGAGAGAATGCCAGAGCAGTGTTTGGCTGTGTTGCTGACTGACAGCCGTCCAGCGTGTTGCGGCCGGATTTCCCTACTGACCCAATGGCGGATCACTCTGCCACTGTTAGGGCTCTGTGCTTGGATGCAGTGGAGTCGGTGGGCCTGTGTCTCCCAACCCCAGCCACCTCATCCCTGGGGTGGCAACCTCCCCACCATAGGCCAAGAGGCTTGTGTTTGTCAGCGGTCCACCCTGTTTAAGGGCCTGGGCCTATAGACTTTGCTGTCCCGTCCAGTCTGAGGGCTTGGGCATAGGGACTCATTATTGTTCTGCCCTGACCCCAGGCCAGAGCCTCCTGACTTTTCTGCCCTGCCCGAGGGCTTGGGCTTCTGGACTTTACTGCTCTGCCCTGCCTACAGGCCAGAGCCTCCTAACTGTGTTCTGCCCCACACTGCCTAAGGGCTGGGGCTTATAGACATTTCTGCTCTACCCCACTGAGTGACAGAGACCCCAGTGCTAATTCCCCCCTGAGGCCTTGTGGCAAAGGGGCATGGCCTCCCTCCCAGACAGCTGTGAATGCCTTACACCCCCAAGAGATAATGGGATCATTTGGGACTGGGAACCTAGGAGGAACATGCAAAGAAAGCCTGAGAGGAACTTTATTATTATTAGAGCTGAGTGAATAATTGATTTTTCAGTTCGGTGGCCTTAATGGAAAATCCATAAAAAATTCAGTTTGTTTTGAACTGAACAGAATTTTTTCTGTTTTTCTTGACTAAAACAAACAAAAAAAAAGTGGCCAGGATGAAGAAAGTATTGACATTTTTTAAGCGAAATATTTTGGAAGTGTCAATTCAAAGTATGCCAATATTTGACATTTCCGATTTTCCCTCCCAGCTGAAACTATTTGCCAAATTTGACCCAAATTCATAAATAGTTTCAGAGGTTCAAAAAAATGCCAGCTCTCATTACAACATGGGCCTTAGCAACGGCAGCAACAACCCGTAAGATCCCATTAAAGGGCAGTCCAGGCTTCTTCCCCCACACCTCATAGCCTTCTAGCATGCGCAGAGTCCTTACCATCCTCAGGGCAGTTCTCCTCATCACTAGAGAAGGTGATGGCAGGTTTCTGAGAGGAATGGCGCAGTGCGGCACCCCGGCAACACCTGGACACACGGGATTGAGGTGTGATGAAAGAAGGGTCTGCATCTCTGTTGGCTATGCTCATGGGGCGGCGGCAGGAGCCTGCAAGAGAAGCAGAGAGGCCATGCTTCCTGAAAGGGGTGAGAAACTCACAGCTACTCTGCCTGGATTGCAGGATAGGAGGAACAAAGAGGCTAGGACTGTGCAGCCTTAGAAAGAACATACCAGCTACTTGTCTCTTCTTTCCTGGTTCTAGCAGGGGAGTCTTGCCTCCCTCCTGGCATAGAGGCTCCTTGGGAACCTCTGTGGAATCCATACCATGGTTGTGGCAGGCATGGAGTTTCTGCTCCATCTCTTCAATCAGAGCCTGATACAGTGAGACAGAAGCTGATAAGTGGGGAGAGGGGAAGGGATTCCATGCTGCAGCCCAGATTCCCCCTGCACCTCCCAGCAAGCTCAGCAAACCCACCATGGGAGTTCCCTACATCTCAAGCTTTGTGATCCTTCATCATGGCATAGAAGCAGCTATATCTAGTCTTGCAGCTCATCATGGACAATCACCTTGATTTTGGCCAGTACTAGTCTGGGATAGCTTGGAAGCAGAAGTACTCTTCCAATCTCGGAATTAGTTATCAGATTCTCACCTTGGTCTCTGGTCGGGTGACCGACCTGCGGAGTCGGCCCAGTGCAGCTAGGAAACAGTTATAGACAGCCAGGTCATGGAGCTTGTCAGCAAAACAATCAAAATTATCTTGCATCTTGCGGAGGCCTCGTTCAGAGAGAGGAAGCAAAGTGAGACAATGAGAAAGGTCTCGATACTGACGCTCTGTTCTGGGGAAAACAAAGATTGTCTTCAGCTTCAGAGTGAAGGAGCATATACTAAGCAAGTTGCTCTAACGGGTGCAATCTTATAAAATCAGTTTAACTGAATGTATAGGATTCATAGAATTTAAGGGCAGAAGGAACAATTAGATCATCTAGCCCAGTGGTTTTCAACCTGTGGTCTGCACACCCCTAGGAGTCCACAGGCTTTATCTAAGATTTCCAAAGAGGTGTGCTCCTCCACTTGAAATTTTTTTAAGGGTCTGAAAATGAAAAAAGATTGAAAACCACAGATTTAGTCTGACCTGTATACCACAGCCTATTAAGTTTCACCTAGTTATTAATGTTGAGCCCAATAGCATGTGTTTGACTAAAGGCATCCAGTCTTGATCTGAAGATATCAGAAATGGAGAACAGAATGGTTACTTATCCTACAATAACTGTGGTTTGAGATGTTGTAGTCAATGTGGATACCTCATGCACCTGAGCTCACAATCTTTTCTAAGTAGCAGTGTCAGTCAGAGCTGTGGATGCATCCGAAGTGGGTAGCTTCTTCCCTTGTGCAGAGTGTGATTTTGGGAAGAATGCGGATAAGCTAATTAATTTCCACTTAAACCAAACTACTTTGGGAATTAATCTCATAGGAGGTCTGAGTACTTTCTTGTCCTTGTAAAAGTAGGTATATATAGGAGTTTAGATATATACACATAGACTTTAAGGTCAGAAGGGACCATTATGATTATCTAGTCTGACCTCCTGCACAACGCAGCCCACAGAATCTCACCCACTCACTCCTGTAACAAACCCCTAACCTATGTCTGAGTTACTGAAGTCCTCAAATCGTGGTATAAAGACCTCAAGGTGCAGAGAATCCTCCAGCAAGTGACCCGTGCCCCACGCTGCAGAGGAAGGCGAAAAACCTCCAGGGCCTCTGCCAATCAGCCCTGGAGGAAAATTCCTTCCCAACCCCAAATATGGCGATCAGTTAAACCCTGAGCATGTGGGCAAGACTCACCAACCAGCACCCAGGAAAGAATTCTATGTAGTAACTCAGATCCCACCCCATCTAACATCCCATCACAGACCATTGGGCATATTTACCTGCTAATAATCAAAGATCAATTAATTGCCAAAATTAGGCTATCCCATCATACCATCCCCTCCATAAACTTATCAAGCTTAGTCTTGAAGCCAGATAGGTCTTCTGCCCCCACTACTCCCCTTGGAAGGCTGTTCCAGAACTTCACTCCTCTAATGGTTAGAAACCTTCATGTAATTTCAAGTCTAAACTTCCTAATGTCCAGTTTATATCCATTTGTTCTTGTGTCCACATTGGTACTAAGCTTAAATAATTCCTCTCCCTCCCTGATATTTATCCCTCTGATATATTTATAAAGAGCAATCATATCCCCCCTCAGCCTTCTTTTGGTTAGGCTAAACAAGCCAAGCTCTTTGAGTCTCCTTTCATAAGACAGGTTTTCCATTCCTCGGATCATCCTAGTAGCCCTTCTCTGTACCTGTTCCAGTTTGAATTCATCCTTATATGAGTGCCTGAGAGCACATTCGCTTTTGGCCAAGGTGATGGCCACCAAAAAGACCATAGTGTGGGTGATATGGTGGATGCAGCACTGAGTGGGGTTCAAAGATAAAGTTTTCATATAGTGCCCTAGGAGGATGATATTGAGGTCTCATGAATTTCAACAGGAGTTTGAATTTGTGGGTGATTCTTCCCCAGACAATAATGTGCGTGTTATTTCAGCTTCATCCCCCTCTGATAATGCTATCCGATTCCATTACAACTTTGAAATTGCTTTCAGTAGCTTTGGCAGAAACCACTCATCTGCTTTTCAACATTTTAGAAAGTTAGAGACACAAGACTGGAGAGGTAATAGTGACGGTGGCCCCCATAAGGGTTTATGGAATATGCTTATGATTGTATAGGATTGTACTGGAATATGTTTTAGGCTACATATGCCATGTAATAGATCTATGAAGAGGTTATGATCTTCTGAATGTATTCATCCTATTTGTATGTATGTATCATTTTTGTATTCAAAGTTATGAATATTGTCTGTGTACTGGCTTGATTTTAACTAGCCTAGTAGAGCATTTGGTCAGCTTCTTGAGAAAAGTGCACATTAAGTGCCAAATCAAAAACCACTTAAGCCAACAATGAACTTAAGATGCCAATCCACATCTGAGCCTTCCCAGGAGTGTGGCTTGGCTGGTAAAAACTGAGTCATGCATGAACATGTGGCTTGCCCATGTGACTCCAAAACTCCATCTTGAAGCTGGACTTTGCATAGGAGAGTGGAGGAGGTCTCCAACCTCAAGAGAAAGTCTATTTAAGCCTGTGGGAGACCCCTCCATTTTGTCTTCAGCTGGCTAAAGGGATAGCCTCTCCACCCCCAAGGATACCTGAAAGAAACTGGAACAAAGGACAGTAACTACTGGGCGTGTGAGTGATTGCTGGACCCAGACTAGAAAGCAACTAGTCTGTAAAAGGAAGCTTACTGGAATTCCTCTAAGGGTGAAGTTCTTGTCTGTACTGTTTTCTTACGGTATTAAGCTTAGATTTGCGTGTTTTATTTTATTTTACTTGGTAATTCACTTTGTTCTGTCTGCCACTACTTGGAACCACTTAAATCCTACTTTCTGTATTTAATAAAATAACTTTTTACTTCTTAATTAATCCACAGTATGTATTAATACCTGGAGGGGGCAAACAGCTGGGCATCTCTCTCTATCAGTGTTACAGAGGGTGAACAATTTATGGAGTTTACCCTGTATGAGCTTTATACAGGGTAAAACGGATTTATTTGGGGTTTGGACCCCATGGGGAGTTGGACATCTGAGTGTTAAAGATAGGAACACTTCTGTAAGTTGTTTTCAGTTAGGCCTACAGCTGTTAGGGGACATGGTTCAGACTCTGGGTCTGGGTTTGCAGCAGGCTAGCGGGTCTGGCTCAAACCAGGCAGGGCACTGAAGTCCTAAGCTGCCAGGGCAGGAAAGCAGGGGCAGAAGTAGTCTTGGCACATCAGTTGGCAGCCCCAAGGGCGTTTCTATGATTCAACCCGTCATAGTAATATTTTAATCAGACCAACTTCTCTTTTTTGGGTTTCTTGATGATCTCCAGGTAGGTTTTCTGGATTTTGTTTTTCCTTCCAGGGTGTGGGAGCATCTGATTACTTTTTTGAGGTGGACCCTTCTGGAATATCTTAGAAAATTGTTGCCCCCCCCCTCAGCTTCTCTGAATAAGAGTGGCAATTATCAAGCAGCAATGTTGAGATATCAATTTCACCTTTTGGAAAAGATTTCATTTTTCATCAAAAATCTTCCAGAGAATTGATGGAAATTAATTAGTGTCCTCAACAGAAAAAGTCAGAATGCTGCAATACATGCACTTAGAGTGCCTTCTGATATTTCAGACATTGCTTCCAGATTGATTGCTTCCTCAATACCTCTCTATAGGTGTGCATGGTTAAGATCTTTGTTGTTACCTATAGAGACAGTCTAGAATACAAAACCTTCCTTTTGAAGGGGATGGTCTCTTCAGTGCTAAACCTGATGAAGTTTTAGAAAAAATGGAAGACAAGGTCTTCTACTAGATCTTAGTCTACTACAATCTTTTAGCAGGAAATCTGCTCCTATGTTCAGATACCACATTTATTGCACCGCAACACTCTTCTGACAACAAAAATTACTACACGACCCCAGGAGGGGAGACTGAAGCATGAGCCCACCCAAGCTCTGCCACCCTGGGTGGGGGTGCAAAGTCGAAGCCCAAGGGCTTCAGCCCCAGGCAGGGGGCCTGTAACCTAAGCCCCACAACCCAGGGTGGAAGCACTCAGGCTTTGGCTGCAGCCCCAGGTGGTGGGGCTCAGGCTTCGGCCCCAGCAATTCTAAGCCAGCCCTGGCGACCCCATTAAAATGGGGTTGTGACGAAGTGGGACTGTTCTTAATGTTTCCTCTGAATACTGTAGGGGTGCCTCAGTTTCCCCTATGCATTTCTTAAGTCACTGGGTGATGGGATAAGGGGGTGTGATTGTTGCAGAGCAAAGGACCAGTGCACATAAATGGCCGACACACTGTCTCCTGGCAACTAATGGCCTGGGCCCTTCCCCCTGCAAGGAGATAGCTAAAGGTGTTGGAGAACAAAGGAATCAGGTGACCTCCTGGCCCGGGAAAGGGACAAAGCCCAGAGGAGGAGGGGCTGGAGGGTGAGTCAGTTTGGAGCTAGCTGGGGACGAGGAGTGAAGTGTAGACGAGGGTGTCTGGCTCACTGCCCCCCAAAATGGACGCGGCTGAGGGGTCTTATTCTCTGTACCTACAAGCTCTGTTTTAGACCGTGTTCCTGTCATCTAATAAATCTCTGTTTTACTGGCTGGCTAAGAGTCACGTCTGACTGCAAAGTTGGGGTGCAGGACCCTCTGGCTTCCCCAGGACCCCGCCTGGGCAGACTCACTGTGGGAAACACACGGAGGGGCAGAGGATGCTGACTGCTCCAAGGTCAGACCCAGGAAGTTGAAGCCATGTGAGCTTCTTGCCCTGAAGACAGTCTGCTCACAGAGAGGAGACTTCACCAGAGTCCAGACTGGCTTTGTAGGGAGCAGTTCCAGAGCATCGCCCGGGGACTCTGTGACAGGGATAGTGACCCACTTTGGGGTCCCAACCCACAGTTTGAGAACCACTGCCATAGGCAGTACTGTCCACCCTGTTGCTCTTCTGACCCAAAAAAAGACAAATACCAGTAGCAGCAACAATCCTCTCCTCAATCTCAATAGAGGAAGCCTTCAAACCTCAGATAAGAACAAAAAGAGTTCTTCAGCTAAGTCTTCATTGCCTAATGTCAGACCACAGGTTTGACAGGAAAATTGAGGGCTGCAAAACAATCGGAGTTCTACCCATATTTTTGGAGACTGCCTGTCATTTCTACAATGTATGGAAGATTATCACCTTGGACAGATGGGTCTTGGACACAAAAGGATTTGAACTGGATAGTTAAACCTTCCCTTCCTCCACACAACCCCCCATTCAACTCCCTTTTCTGTACTAAGGACAGAAATACAGACTCTACTACAAGCAACAACGACAATTAAAAAAAGAAAAAGAATTACCTTTTCCGTAACTGGTGTTCTTCAAGATGTGTTGCTCATGTCCATTCCACAATAGGTGTGTGTGCTCGCCACGTGCACTGGCGCCGGAAGTTTTTCTTCTAGCAGTACCTGTAGGGGAGCGCCCCTAGCAACTCCTGGAGTGGCACCTCTATGGCGGGGTATAAGGGATTCTGCGCACTCCCCCCCCATCCTCAGTTCCTTTTTACCAGACAACTCCAACAGAGGGGAAGGAGGGTGAGATGTGGAATGGACACGAGCAACTCATCTTGAAGAACACCAGTTACGGAAAAGGTAACTGCCTTTTCTTCTTCGAGTGATTGCTCATGGGCATTCCGCAATAGGTGATTCCAAGCTATATCTGTTGGAGGTGGGTAGGAGTTCACAAATTCTCGGGACAGAGCACAGCCCTGCTGAACCTGGCATCCTCCCTAGTCTGGGTGATGATCACATAATGCAAGGTGAACCTGTGGACCAATGACCATGTGGCAGCCCTACAAATGTTCTGAATGGGGATATAGGCTAAAAAGGCAGCCAATGAGGCTTGAACCCTAGTCAAGTGTGCCCTCACAATCGGCAGCGGGGGGACTCCCGCCAGGTCGTAACAGGTACGAATACACGAGGTAATCCAGTTGGAGAGCTGCTGAGTGGAGATCAGCTGACCTCTCATGCGTTTGGCCGAGG